AGTCCGAATGACATTCGACGGAATGCAAAGGTTCCGAACGGGCAAGTGAAAGTGGTCTTCTCTTGGTCTTCAAGGTTTACATGGATTTGGAAGTAACCACTCATCCCATCCAAGAAGCAATAGTACGCATGGCCAGCTAATTTCTCAATGAGTTGGTCAATAAAAGGAAGGGGAAAATGATCCTTGCGTGTGGCATCATTTAACTTTCTATAGTCTATGACCATTCGCCATCCAGTTACCGTTCTTCCGGGAACTAACTCTCCCTTCTAATTTTTGGTTACTGTCATCCCTCCATTTTTCGGAACGACGTGGATTGGAGACACCCATTGGCTATCTGAAATAGGATAAATTATTCCAACATCCAAGAGTCTAAGCACTTCTTTCTGTACTACTTCCATTAATTTTGGATTCAACCTGCGTTGAGCCTGCACAACTGGTTTAAATCCGTCCTCAATGGCTATTTTATGTGTGCAATAAGCGGGGCTTATTCCTTGAATATCCTCCAGTTTCCAAGCAATTGCTTGCTTGTGCATACGGAGGACAGCTAGTAATTTTTCCTTCTGATCAGGTGTTAGATCAGAGGCTATGACAACAGGGCACTGGCCCTCACTATCGAGGAAAGCATACTCGAGGTGTGACGGTAAGGGTTTAAGTTCTAAGGATGTGGCTTCGCTTGTGGGTCCAGATCGCGTCTTGATATCGCACACCTCCTCACACTTAGGTTCTTGAAAAGCAATTTCTAGGCTTAGGAGATCTTCTACAGACCCTTTATCTTTTATAACTTTTACTGAGTTGCAGAACTCAGCTGGGTCCGGAGTTCGATTCATGACGCTCATCATTTTAAAAGTGACATCTTCATTGTCTTTGAGTTAATTCTCCGTCGTGCACATTAATTAATGCCTTTGCGGTCGTAAGGAATGGTTGCCCTAGTAATAGCGGCTTTTCCTTGTCTTCTTCCATATCCAACACCACAAAATCAGCAGGAAAGATGAACTTATTTACCTTCACAAGCACGTCTTCAATCACCCCCCTGGGGTAACGAATAGAGCTATCTGCCAATTGAAGACACATTTGAGTGGGTTTAAGTCCAGTCAATCCCAGTGCTTTCATGATAGAGGACGACATTAAATTAATGCTAGCTCCTAGGTCAGCTAGAGCGTCTCCAAAGGTTCTATCGTTGATGGAGCAAGGGATGAGGAAACATCCAGGATCCTTTCGTTTTCTAGGCATTTCCTCAAGTAACATAGCAGAGCATTCAGCATTTAAGCTGACAACTGGGAATTCCTCCCAGTCCCTCTTCTTAGTCACGAGGTCCTTTAAGAATTTACCATATTTGGGCATTTCAGTTAACACATCTACCAAAGGCATTTTGACCTCAACTTGGCCAATGACATCGAGAAACTTTTGGAAAGCCTTTTCATCTTTGTTCTTTTTTACCCTAGTAGGAAAGGGGATAGTGTTTAGCTGAGCTTGCTTGGTTGGTAGGGGTTGGCTAGAAGAGGCTTCTTCCTTTCCCGCCCCTTGGGGTGTGGATTCAGTCTTCTTTTGCGGGGTTGTTCCTATAGAAGTTTCCACAGGTGGCTTCGACTTCTGGGCCTTGAAGCTCTTTACCACTTCTCAAAGTTATGGCCCGAAGTTGCTCCCTTGGGTTTGGTTCGGTGGTAGCTGAGAGGTTCCCCTGTTCTCTAACTCCAAGTTGTTTAAACACTTGTTGGAGTTGGTTATCACGTGTCTTGTCACGTTCCTTCAGATCATCTGCTAGATTGTTCATCTTCTGCATGTACTCCATCATCATCTTCTCCATCCTTGCCAAGGAATCTTCTTGCGGAGGTTGGCGATTATGAGGTGGAACGTAGGGTGCATTGGTATTTTGGTAATTGGTTTTATTGTTATTCCAGTTACCTTGTTTATAGTCATCCCTGGAACGATTGTTTCTTGGAAAACTGTTTCTCTCCCGCCAATGCTCCTGATTGTTCTGGGCCCAAGGTCCTTCCCCTTTATTCGCGTATTGTGCTAGATTAACGTCCTTAGCCTTGCTTGGAGGGGGTGGTTCAATCAAGGGACAAGCAGAAGAAAGATGATTTTGAAAGCAGTGTTCACAAGACAAGACAAGATCAGATTGGTGGTGACTACCAGAACCATAGAGTTCAGCCTGGTTCACCGGTTCAGTGTACTAATTGGGACGTGGATGGGAAGCTCCTAGGTGCTCCTTGATAGTTTGTTTCACGATGCTCTCCATACTAGCCTTGAGAGCTGTGAATTGGTCTACTTCATACATGCCAGCTTTAGGAGGAGGAGCTCGGTCTTCGTACCAATATTTAGCATTCGACGTAAGTCTATCTACTAACTCCTCATTCTCCTCAGGCGTCATCTCCAGAAAAGAACCAAGTTTAGAAGAGTGGTCCAATTCCTTCTTAGATGGTATCGTTAAGCCTTGGTAAAAGTAGAACATCAAACTATCGGAATCAATTAAAGCAGGTGGGCATTTAACCTTCAACTCCTTGAATCTTTCCCATGCTTCGCTCATTGATTCCATAGGTGCTTGACGGAAGTTTTGGATGGAGTTCTTTATTTTTACCATGGCGGAGGGTGGAAAATATTCGTGCATGAATGCTTGGTGCAACGCCTCCCAGGTTTTGAAGTGGCCATTAGGAAATGTGTTTACCATCTAGCGGCCCGATCTCGAAGGGAAAAGGGAAAGAGCGATAGTTTAACACGATCCATAGATAAACCGTTGGACTGGAATGTTTGGCAGGTCCTTGAAAACCATAGCATGTGCGCCCTTGGATCTTCAGCTTTTGAGCCTCCAAATTGGTTATTCGAGACCATTTGGATCATTGCTGGTTTGAATTCAAACGAATGGGCTTGACTAGCGGGGAGACCTATGGGATCTTCCTCTACGTACGCCGGGCTCATGGCTTGAAGGATCGTTCGTTTGGGATTAGCCGCCATTTCTTCTTCTTCTTCTTCCGAGTGTTGGTTCTCTTCTTCGTGATTTCTTCCCCTTCTTCTTCTTCTCTTCTTCGCTCTTCGTCGTTAAACTCCAGTTGACGAGGAATTCTAACGGTGCGGCGTCGGAGCAACAGTTCGGGGTTCTTGGTTCCCGGGAGAATGTTCTCACCGCGAGAACGAGTGTTCATACAATTTTGAAGGCTAGAGGAAGAATTCAAACAACCACCTAATGATAACTAAAAAGGTAATATTTTCAAAAAAGGAAATAAAATTCTTTTATTCTTATTATTTATTTATTTGTTTTTTTTTATAATTTTGTTTAAGAAAATAAGAATTTAATAAGATAGACTTGAAAATATAATATTATGTTTTAATAAATACCTAAAAGAAATTCTCTTTTTTTTACTCTTTACCTTTTTTTATATATATTTTTTTTTATTTAAAAATAAATGTTTACTAATTTTTTATAGAAAATAAAAGTTGAACTAAGGAAAGCTTTTAATAAATGGAAAAAGTTTAACGAAATATAATTAAAAATTTTTATTATATTTTTATAGAAAATAAGATATTTTTTTTTGTTTTTTTTATATGAAAATCATTTCTATCAACTTTCTTTCAGGCTAACTAAAAAGAAATCTTACTAATAGCTTTCTGCGCCGATCCCCGACAACGGCGCCATTTGGTGAAGAATTTTGGTTTAACTCAAAATTCCCGTAGTAGTAAAGGGAACAGACTAGACCTTTAAAAGATCAGTTTATCCCGTGTCGTCTCAAGGATCGGCCCAAGGGAAAGTTTAGCAAGACTAGCTAGACAAGATTTACTCGTTGAATTGAAAAGTTTTCAATAAGTCGAATAAGGAGTGGAGATTGAATTTTATCTTTCAGGAATAAAGAGTAGGGATGTAATTATTGGTGAGGTGATGATTCTTTTTAGAGTAAAATCACCGGTTACTTTTACTTTAAATCTTTTTACTAGTAAGTAAGTATCTTTTGAAATATTTACTTAACAATCAATCCAATGTCTAAAGATCAATTATCAAATTACTGGGCTTGACTTAATTAAATTCCAGATTTCTCAAGAAATATAATTTTCAAGAATAGATTTGCCTTCTCTCGATTTACAAATCTCAAGTATAAATTCTCAGTAATAAAAAGTAGTAATTTGCCTTGACAATAATATAATTCAACTCAATGATTTTCTCAGAAAATTACCATCACCATTCCAATAATCACATCCCTAATTAATTTATCTACTCATAATAAAAACCTTCAACACACATGCATCATAAGAAGACATTTTTCAATTAAAAGTAGAGAGTTGACAAAACTTACTTCGACAATCTGAAGAACTGGAGGTTCGGGCTACAATTTGCTCCGTGAAAACTCCAAGAAATAATACTAATCTAAAATATGAAAGTAGCTTTGTAAATCTAGGCTAAAAATGGAGAAATTTGGACTTGAGAGGGAGAGAAGGGCGCTGTGCAGCGTATCAAATCGGGGAGGGGAGTGCTGTATTTATAGAACTGGACGCGAAGCGTCCAACCCCAGCCGTCCAGATCCAAAGCGTCCAAAGTTGGACGCCTTACACGGCCCATCCATTCGCTGCTCGCCACGTGGCTTTCGTGAAGCCCAATCTTTGCCAAGCGTCCAAGGGGAAGCGTCCAACCTGCAAAGCGTCCAAGGCTTGGACGCTTCGGGCCTTCTCCTGTGGGCTTTTTCCCCGGCTTGATCCAATTCAGGCCCAATTTCAATTTTTACTTTGCTTCGCAGTTTGTTTCAGCTTCCTCCGATATTCTCATGATAAAATTCTCAGTTAAAAACTTCTTTTTCTTTCAAATATGAGTAGAAAAATTAACAATCAAGACTTGGCGAACTTTAAACCAATTATTATTCCTAAAAGAACAAATCAAAGATATTGTTCAGTTTAACATAAAATTATGCGCTGCTTATCACTATTTTCGTGCAATAACGCTTAAAATATGTAGAATAAAATAAGAACAAAATGAATTTATCAATGATCATCATCGGCGTCGTTGTCATCATTGTCATCATCATTATTAGTACTATCATATCCTTTATATATATAAATGAGACTCCAAGCTCTAAGGAGATGACATGTGGCATTGCTAGGAGCTGACATATGGCATTACTAAGAGCTGACATGTGTCATTACTTATGTGTCTTTTTTATGCAACCCAATTTATGAACTGAATAAAAAAATTATTTTTATTTAGCCATTTCTAACACCTAATATGTCACATAATTTTTCATATGGTAAATATAAAATTAAAAGTTTGGAAAGAAATATTTGGTTAAATATAAATATGGGAAAAAAAATTTCTTTTTATATTAATATTATTTCTAAATTCTATATTTTTTCTCTTTATTTAAAAAATTTTTTAGAATGAAATATAGAATACTCTCTTCACCTATAAATAAATTTTATAACTATTTATTATACCTTTTGATAAGTCCGTTTTGTACTTATCCTTTTACTCATATTTAATTTGTTCTTGTACCATTTTTATTATCAAAACAATAAATTATTTATTCTTTTTTATCAAAAACATATGTTTTGATGAATTGATCTTAAAAAGAATGTCTTTGAAATAATATATAAAATTGGGCCAAGTATAGAGAAAAAAGAGTAAATTTTAATAGAAAAACAATTCTATCTCACAAACGGTGCGGAATTAGAAGTCGGTGCAGAAGGAAAAAATGTTCGGAACGAAATTTTGAGCAAGGTAGCATCGGCAGATTTTGGCGGCCTNTTGATAAGTCCGTTTTGTACTTATCCTTTTACTCATATTTAATTTGTTCTTGTACCATTTTTATTATCAAAACAATAAATTATTTATTCTTTTTTATCAAAAACATATGTTTTGATGAATTGATCTTAAAAAGAATGTCTTTGAAATAATATATAAAATTGGGCCAAGTATAGAGAAAAAAGAGTAAATTTTAATAGAAAAACAATTCTATCTCACAAACGGTGCGGAATTAGAAGTCGGTGCAGAAGGAAAAAATGTTCGGAACGAAATTTTGAGCAAGGTAGCATCGGCAGATTTTGGCGGCCTGACAGGCGACCTGGCCGGCAGGCCGCCAGTCAGAAGGCGGAGGCGGCGAGAAGCTCAGCAGACAGCGAAGGAGAGCGCTGGCGAGCTGACAGGCGGCCGCCTGTCTGCCCGCCCGCCTGTCGACAGCGACCAACGGCGAGAAGGTTCCAGTGGATTCCAGCGGCGCACCAGTGGGCTGGCTGGCGGCCGCCGGTCTGCTCGCCAGTCGGCGATCCTCCTCTATAAATTGCAGCGCCTGATCTCCCCTTCTCCCATGCTTCCATCGGTTTTTCCCCTTTTTAGGGCAAAAGAAAATCTTCACTTTTATTTCTAAATATTGTATTAAAATTGTGTGGTTCAATTTCTTCATCTTAAGTTAATTCTCAAGTCTTTGAAGCACTCTAAGTTTTACTCTACTTTTTATTGTAATCTTTATTGAACTTTTTATCAATAAAATTTTAATTTGTTGATGATTGATATGTTTTTGAAGATTTTAATGATGATGAATGTTTTGTTTGATATTATGAATTGGTAATTTAAAATGGGTTAAGATTCGGAATTAAGATTTAATCAATTTAATTTCATCTATTTATTAGTAATTGGATTAATTGTTAGAAAATGAAATAATCTTTATTAATTAATAAAATTATTTTTATTATTAATTAATCCTTGGAAATTAATCTTTTACTTTGTCTATGAAGTAAAAAGATTAGTTAAGCCACACGTTCCGAACACCTAGAAATAGGCAGTGTTAGAAATAATCGTTTGGAATGGTTTCAACTAATTAATAATGTTAAACATTTTATTAATTAAGTAGTTGGAAAATAGTTCTTGCCTTGTCTATGAGGATTTAGAGTTATTTAAGCCAAACATTTTCTAGCACAGTACTGAGACCTGAAAAATGGAGATGTACTGGAAATATAATAGTCTTATATTTAATTTTGAGACCTAGAAATAGGAGATATATTAAATATAAGTGCTACAAATTTCATTAGTCCAATTGTTAATAAAAGATGAGTTAAATTGTGTTAAGTTTGCATTCCGATCTTAACTCCTCAAGTTATTTTATCATTTATTTTAGACGCTTTATTTCTTATTATTTCACGTTTCTTAAACTATAAATTTACCCGTGATATATAATAAAACTAACTATTCCCTTCGTCACTCCTAGAGAGAACGACCCGAGTCTAACTCGGTTATTTGTTGACTTAGTGCTATATCTTAGCTCCACCAAAATGGCGCCGTTGCCGGGGAGTGGCACGGTTTAGTTAGTTTTTCTATTCTCATAGGAAAATTTTTAGTTTACTCGATTTATTTTTTTTCCTTATTTAAATTTTTATGAGTCGTTTTAATAATTTTTATAATTCTCATTTTAATGATCTCCCACCATACCCATATTGTGAAAATAATTTTTCTAATGATTATAACGAAAATTACCATTATAAAAATAGTTTTTATGAAAATTCACCTATGTTTGAAAATGATTATCAATTTAATGGTAATAGGTGGAATAATTATGATAATGGTAATTTTAGTTGTTCACAAGATAATTTTGGTAATGATCAAGAATTGGCATTACAACTCTCTTATGAATAATAATTATTTTGATGATTATGATCATGGGAGAAATTTTAAAAATTTTGATCATTTACCAAATTATCGAAATAATTATTGTGATTTTTATGATAATCAAAATTATTGTAATAATCCCTCTAGACTCTTCGATGAAAATAATTATGAGCAGGAGGATAATTACAATAACTTTGATTATCAAGAGAGTTATTCCTCTCCTTATTCCTCATCTTGCCCTATTAATAATTTTGATGCGATTAGTAATGAATTAAAATCAATAAAAAATGACATGGATCGCATTATAAGAAATTTAATTGGGCAAATAGAATTAAAGAGATATACTAACCTTGATTTTGATGAATTCCTTAAAAAGAAGGGTTTGGTAAATGAAGAAGGTGATCTTTGTTATACTTTTCCTTATTCTTCACTAAACCCTGATTCTAATCTAGAGATTTTCAATAATGAAAAAGAAGATATTCTTAAGGAAATTAGAAATCTCTATGAACTATTAGAATTCAAACCTAATGAATCTAATAAAATTCATCAAAATGAATGGTTAGCTGATGAATCCAAAGATGAGGAAATTGAGGTGGATAAAATTGTTGAATCAAACATAGCGCAAGAAAGAACACCTTCTTTAGGCCAACCACTTCAAGATGAGGAATTTGATGAAAATGAATATTATCTCGAACAAGAAAAACTTTGGGCTGATTTTGAAGATGAATATCAAGAAACATTGAAAAACTTGCTTGATAGGGGTATTCTAATTCGAGTAAATAATGAAAATCACAATAATGGGTTGGAGGGAGTAATGCCTGAGGAAAACTTTAATGTTTCTCCATTAGGTGTGGAAGAGAAAAGAGACGATCAAGGACCTGTTTGTTCGTCTCTCAACGAGAGAAATGGAGAACATAAAAAGTGAACTTAAGGTAGAATTTTTACAAAAGTCCGAAGGTATTAATCATTTAGGGGGCTCTATTGAATCTGACCAGAATGTATATCTTGAAGAGAGTCCCTCAGACAAATTCATTCAAAGAGACCTTGAGTCACCAAAGATTTTTCAAAAAGATGGTTTCTTTGAACCACTTTTCGTGAAGTCAAGCATCCCCAAGCCTGTACCTTTATCAGAATATCTTGTATGCTTGGGGATGATCAGTTCCTTTTATAGAATTTTCACTATTTCTTGGCTTCACGAATATCTAGGTTTGCGCCACCTTACGGTGATTATTCGGAAAAAATTGGAGACTCTCGAGGAGAGTGCTCCGTTAGATATGTTTGTTTTACCAAGTTTAGGATTGATGACGTCAAACTAATGACGTTAAATTAGCGCTTAACGAGAGGCAACCCGTAATAATAATAATAATAATAATAATAATAATAATAATAATAATAATAATAATAATAATAATAATAATAATAATAATAATAATAATAATAATAATAATAATAATAATAATAATAATAATAATAATAATAATAATAATAAAATTAGCAAGTTCTTGTTCACACCTTCACACACTGTGCACTTGTTTTTTTCCTTTGTTTTGTTGTTTTCTTTTCTTTTGCAGGGTAAACGAACGGAAGCCATAACAATGAGCTTTGCCAGTTTTCGCACCAGAAATTGTTTTAATGGATAGAATTGTTTTTCTATTGAATATATCTCTTTATTTCTAATCTTGGCCAAAAGTTTTAAATTTTTATGATCACAAAAAAAAAACAAACAAAAAAGGGGCCTCTCATCATATGCTTCACACTAAGTGTGAGGAAGATTGTTTTACTTTGATTTTTCTACTCGCATCTCGCATTTGGACCTCGAGGACGAGGTCCAGCTTAAGTGTGAGGAGGTAGAATATCAGGTATGATTATATTCTAGAAAATTATTTTCTTGATCAATAATCAGTTAATGAATTAGTTTTCAATTACTTTACATTTTTCTTTTATTTTCTAATAAATTAAATAATCATTCTCATTTTTAAGTTTAACAATGAACTTTTATTTAAAATTGTGCATGAGTTGGGTTTTAGTTGAGTAACTTAAGGTTGTTAATTACATAACGATTATAAGTCTTTTGGTCACTTTCTCTTTAATTGAAATAAATAAACAAAGATAATTGTGAGGGTTGCGCTTTAGTGACGAATTGGGAATCCTATCTCCGAAAGGAGCTCTGCTTCTCCCGTGAATCACATAAGGCGAGGGAGCAAGTATGCATATGTAATGGGATAAACCCACAACCCAAACAATTGTTCCAACTGTTTGCGCTTATGTGCTACGTTGAGTATTCTATCTCCTTTGGAGCTCTGCCCTTCTATTATTTAAAAAAAATCAATTCATAAGCAATAAAAAGGGCATTATGGGATAACTCACAAAAAAAATGAGATAAGTGGACCAAGAGACTACGAATCGTTATCATTTACTGACCTTAAGGGATCTCGGAAGAAAAACTTACTCACGCAAACTTTTAAATAAGTTCATTGTTAAATTTTTTGAAAAAAGTGATGAGATATTTAGTTGTTAGAATATAAAGAAAAAGATGAAGTAATTAATGCTAATGAAATTAACTGATTATTGCAAGAAAGTAGGATTTTAGAAAATAATCAACAATCTTCTTTATTCTTGTGTTGGTAGATGATGAGTTGCTTGAGGGCAAGCAACGTTTAAGTGTGAGGAGATTGATAAGTCCGTTTTGTACTTATCCTTTTACTCATATTTAATTTGTTCTTGTACCATTTTTATTATCAAAACAATAAATTATTTATTGAAAAAATAGTTTTTGTATACAAAACTACTTAACTAGAATTTTTCTTACAGAAACTTTATTATATATTTTAACCCGGTTCATATCTCTTTTTTCTCATTTAAAATTATCTTAAACAATTCTATCTCACAAACGGTGCGGAATTAGAAGTCGGTGCAGAAGGAAAAAATGTTCGGAACGAAATTTTGAGCAAGGTAGCATTGGCAGATTTTGGCGGCCTGACAGGCGACCTGGCCGGCAGGCCGCCAGTCAGAAGGCGGAGGCGCCGAGAAGCTCAGCAGACAGCGAAGGAGAGCGCTGGCGGGCTGACAGGCGGCCGCCTGTCTGCCCGCCTATCGACGGCGACCAGCGGCGAGAAGGTTCCAGTGGATTCCAGCGGCGCACCAGTGGGCTGGCTGGCGGCCGCCGGTCTGCTCGCCAGTCGGCGATCCTCCTCTATAAATTGCAGCGCCTGATCTCCCCTTCTCCCATGCTTCCATCGGTTTTTCCCCTTTTTAGGGCAAAAGAAAATCTTCACTTTTATTTCTAAATATTGTATTAAAATTGTGTGGTTCAATTTCTTCATCTTAAGTTAATTCTCAAGTCTTTGAAGCACTGTAAGTTTTACTCTACTTTTTATTGTAATCTTTATTGAACTTTTTATCAATAAAATTTTACTTTGTTGATGATTGATATGTTTTTGAAGATTTTAATGATGATGAATGTTTTGTTTGATATTATGAATTGGTAATTTAAAATGGGTTAAGATTCGGAATTAAGATTTAATCAATTTAATTTCATCTATTTATTAGCAATTGGATTAATTGTTAGAAAATGAAATAATCTTTATTAATTAATAAAATTGTTTTTATTATTAATTAATCCTTGGAAATTAATCTTTTACTTTGTCTATGAAGTAAAAAGATTAGTTAAGCCACACGTTCCGAACACCTAGAAATAGGCAGTGTTAGAAATAACCATTTGGAATGGTTTCAACTAATTAATAATGTTAAACGTTTTATTAATTAAGTAGTTGGAAAATAGTTCTTGCCTTGTCTATGAGGATTTAAAATTATTTAAGCCAAACATTTTCTAGCACCGTACTGAGACCTGAAAAATGGAGATGTACTAGAAATATAATAGTCTTATATTTAATATTGAGACCTAGAAATAGGAGATATATTAAATATAAGTGCTACAAATTTCATTAGTCCAATTGTTAATAAAAGATGAGTTAAATTGTGTTAAGTTTGCATTCCGATCTTAACTCCTCAAGTTATTTTATCATTTATTTTAGACGCTTTATTTCTTATTATTTCACGTTTCTTAAACTATAAATTTACCTGTGATAAATAATAAAACTAACTATTCCCTTCGTCACTCCTGGAGAGAACGACCCGAGTCTAACTCGGTTATTTGTTGACTTACTGCTATATCTTAGCTTCGTCACCTTTACTTGAAATTAGTTTTTTAATTAAATTTATTTAAATATTGACACCTAATAAATAAAGTGCTTTCTTCACCAATAAATAACTTTAATATTTATTTTGACAGCCAATAGTCTAATATGTCACTTAATTAAAAATATAAAAAATGTGAAATCAATATTTTGGTATGAAATCTTTGAATAAATTTAAGTATGAAAATGAAACATTCGTTTTAATGAAAATATTTACAGGGGCTTTTGATTGTAGAATAAGTCTTTCACATGGACTCACTCTTTTCACAGCAAACTAAGGACATACACTAGACTCCAAATAATTCAGGGGCCCGTTCTAAGCATGGAAGCTGGGTTGGATGAACGTGATTATGTCTTGGCTTTGCTGTTTGGCTGTTACATTATTGTATTTTGTACGAGACAGGGTCCTTCGTGTTTTGCTTGCTATATATATATATATATATATATATATATATATATATATATATATATATATATATATATATATATATATATATATATATATATAAAGATTTTATTAATGAAATCGAAAGGAGGGTACAATCTCGTTAAAGAGAGCGGCTTTTACAGAAGAAGAACAATCGCTAATATTACAATATTCAATAAAATTGCATCCTTTGGTTGTGTCTTCTTTAGCTAATAAGTCAGCGGGCTGATTTCCTTCTCGAAGAGTATGAGACGTCCAAATGTCGTTATCTGTGATCATGGTACCCAAGATATCAATTGGAAAAGGAGAGTGTGGGTGATGCACATATTTTGCAAGTCTCATAGTGATTTCCTTAGCATCCGTCTCGAACACAAGGAGTTTATTAAACTTGAGCGCCCATGTTATCCCTTTGATGGCTGCATCCACTTCAGCTTGGTAGGGTGATTCACCTGTAACTTGGAAAGAGGCGGCACCAACGAATCTTCCCTGGTCATCTCTAAGAATAGCTGCTCCCTGTTTAGCATTATGGGTGAAAGACGCATCCACATTAAGTTTGAGCCTGCCCTTAGGAGGTGCTAGCCACTTGACCAATCGAATGGAAGGATTGGAATTTAGGCAGTAAGTTTGTGCCAATAAGCCAAGCATCAAAGACTCTAAGTTGTTTAGACAGTTTCATTTGGAGCCAGTTCTTTGTATACCTAGAAATGGAATCAATAAGCTTTGAGGGATTGAAACTGTTCATGTCCTCATAGAGGAGTGAGTTAAGAGCTTTCCAAATGTGCCATGAAATGATTCCAGGCAAGTGCTTTCTTAGGAAACCATAAATGTTATTGTTTCCTCTAAGCCACCAGCTCATGAAGTGTTGGTTAATACTTGAGGAGTCCTGGTGTAAGATTCCAACACAGGCTGAGAAATGATGCCAAACCCCTTTGATCATATGGCAGTCTATAAGGGAATGTTTGGCAGTGTAAGATTCCCTTTGACAGAAAGGACACATTGAAGGCATGAGGAAGCCAAGTTTCTGTAGATTCTCAGGACTAGGAATACAGTGCTAGAACAGTTTCCAAGTGAAGATGCTGACTTTTGGGTTTTAGGGGGATTCCCAAAGGTATTTAAAAGAGGCCCTGGGGGTTGAACCTGCTCTACAGAATTCATATGCTGATTTGAAGGTGAAAGAGCCACTAGGATCAAGCTTCCAGCGCATCATGCCATCATCAGAGACAGAACAAGTGTCAATGGCAGATTCATCAATGTTGAAGATTCTCTTCCAGACTAGGGAATCAATAATGTTGGCCTTCATCTCACCATCCCTCCAATATTTAGCTCTCATTAGCTTTGCCCATAATCCATTATCATGATGGTATTTCCACCAAAGTTTAAGACTAAAAGCTTTTTCTAGGCTATTGAAGTCTCTTGTACCCAGGCCACCTTCGTCTTTGGGGGTACAAAGCTTCTTCCAACTTCTCCAATGATGCTTTCCTCCCCACCAAAATTTGGCCATTTTGTGATCCAACAAAAGTTTGATGGATTTAGGGAGTGTGTTAGTTGCCAGGAAATAGTTGGGAAGAGTGTTAAGGACATGATTAATAAGTACTAGACGACCTGCTTGATCCAAGTTTTTTTTGATACCATCCATTTAATTTCGAATCGAAGGAAGAAATAAGGTTGGTGCAGTGAATATGTCTAGTGATTCCCAAGTCAATAGGAATACCTAGATAAGTAAAAGGATAGCTCTTATGGGACATTCCCAGGAGTCTTTCCAGCTTGGATATGGCTAAAGAGTTAGGCTTGGAACCCATCACGAGCTGCTCTTAGTGTAATTGATGGTCTGCCCGGAGACCAGTTGGTAATCGTGGAGGAATCTTTTGAGGTTGGAAACAGATCGGCTATGTCCCGAAGAGAAGATAATGATATCATCAGCATAGGAAAGGTGGGTAATAGGGATGGACTTTCTCCCTAAATTGTACCTGTCAATGAAGCCATCAAGAAACAATTTATTAAGGTTTCTAGAGAAACCCTCATTAGCAATAATAAAGAGGAGAGGAGAGAGAGGATCTCCTTGTTTGATTCCTCTTGATTGACCAAAATATCCACATGGTTTGCCATTGACCAAAATGGAATATTTGGAGGAGGTAAGCAGGTTGTTAACCATGCGGATGAACTGAGGAGAGAAGCCAAAAGCCTTGAGGATGTCCATCAGGTATGACCATTTAAGCTTATCAAAAGCTTTGGCCATGTCAAGTTTAACGATGAGGTTTCCACCATGAGCTTTCCTATTGATGTGATGTACCAACTCCTTAGTGATAAGAATTTGGTCCATAATCTCCCTTCCTGGAACATAAGCCCCTTGTTCTTCAGAAATAATTAGATGAAGGAGCTTTCCAAGCCTATTAGCAATGCATTTAGAGGCAATCTTTGAGGCCACAGTAGATAGGCAAACTGGTCTAAAATCATTGAGTCTCATTGCATTATCAGTTTTAGGAAGCAGGCAAATATTGGATGAACTTGCTGCCTTGGGAAGAGGAATTCCAAGGAAGACCTCTTGGCAAGCAGAAGTTAAATCGTCTTTGATAATATCCCAGCATTGCTTGAAAAAGTTGATGTTGAAACCATCTGGACCAGAAGAGGAATTAGGATCCATGTCCCAGACAGTAACTTTGATTTCCTCTTCAGTGGGCAGAGACATAAGACATTCATTCTGAGTGTGATCTATAAGATGAGGGATGGTGCTAAGAAACTGTGAATAAACTTCACTAGAGCTGCAAGGTTCTGAAGAATTTAACAGAGTAGTGAAATGGGTAACTGCAAGGGCTTCCAGGTCATCTGGATTATCAATTAATTGTCCTTGATCATTGAAGAGACTTGTAATCTGCTGTTTTCTCCTCCTTTCTTTCACCAGGCTGTGAAAGAATTTTGTGTTGGCATCCCCATCTTTCAACCATTTAAGGTTACATTTTTGCTTCCAAAAGGCATATTCTCTCCTATGAGCTTCCTGAAGTTCTGCCAATTTTTGATTATAAAGGATTTTGTTATCGGTTGAAGGGTCAGCCTCAAACAACTGCTCAGCTTTAGTGGCATCAGTTTCTGCCTCCTTAATCATGTCAAAAATGTTGCCAAAATGAGTTTTATTCCAGGAAGAAAGTTTCTCTTTGAGATGATGAAGTCTTTTGAAGAGACTATGCATTCCCCCATGAAAAGGAATTTCCTCCCAACTATCCTTGCAGATCTGCCTAAAATCATCTCTTAATAACCACCTATTTTGGAATCTGAAGGATTTGGTGGTGTTTCTAGCATCAGGTTTGGAGAGAAATAAAATAGGACAGTGATCACTTCCACCCTTAGCAAGGTGCTGCATCGAGATTATGTTCCAGTGATCAGCCCAGTAGGTATTGTAGAAAACTCTATCAAGACGCCGCCATACATTACCATTGCTTCTGACCCCATGCCAAGTATAAGCTGATCCAGTGTAATTACATTCAAGGAGGTTGTTGTCCCTGATGCAGTCACTAAAATCAGTAATAGCCTCTAGCTCAGGCAACCTAGAACCCTTGTGATGAAGAAAGTCTGAAATGGTGTTGAAATCGCCCCCAAGGCACCAAGGGTGATTGACATTGGCATTGAATGATTCAATATAACTCCAAAGAAGTTTCCTGTCCTTAGTGGTGTGACCCCCGTAAATACCACTAATGGTGAAAGTAAAACTCTTGTGGATATCCCTCAGGGAGAAGTGAGAAATCTGCCCAGTGTCAATGACATCAATCAAAGAAAACCTACTAGTGTCCCAAAGGAACCAAATTTTGTTATTAGCAACACTAAGGAACCCATTAAAACCCAGCTTAAAAGCTAGGGTTTTACCTTTATTAGCCATAACCAGAGGTTCAATGAGAACAAAAAAATCAATAGAATGGTGCTTCTTCAAGTGGGAAAGCCTCTCGCACCTCTTGGAGACTCCCCGTACATTCCAAAAGAGAGAATTAATCATTTAAGGGCCTGGAAAACCCCTTCCCCAGACTTTTTAAAGTCTGAACGTGTCCTGATTCTTGAAAAAAGTTGAGAAGAGGCTCCCACTGGTGAAGAAGGTGCTGAAGAAGAGGTTCTCTTCACCGGAATATCAATCTGTAGTCCAGGGGAGATATCTGAGGAGGCATGTTGTAAAATGGGCTCCACACGTTGTTCAGTTGCATGCATGAGGTTTTCAATGATAGTAGTCCCACCATGAATAGAAATGGGTTCTGAGCTGGAGTAAGCAAGACCATTATTATCCAAATAAATTACCTCATGTGACTCAATAAATTGAACCTGGGGCCTACGCCGGGCTCCAGTTTTGGATGATTCCTCTTGGCATAAGGCTGCTTGAGTTTCTGCTTTGGCCGTATCTTCTTGGCTCAAAACTGCCTGGTCCTTACCTGGTAAGGGATCCTGAGTGAAAGTGGGTTTAGGGACCCATTCACCGTGGGATTTATGCTGTCGTCTCTTCCTTTGCACATTGATCCATTCATTTTCAATAAGCTTGCCCTTGTCTTTACGTGGTTGCACGGTTCCTGCCGGCGTTTGGTTTCCCACTGGGATTTCCGGCTGGTAAGCTCCCTTGCAGATGGTGGCGTTGTGACCAAGCCTATGGCAAGAGTCACAAAAGGAATGAGGATCCTCGTACAGTACCTGGAAAAAGAGGTCATCATCGATATGCTTGACGTGGATCTTCTGATGAAGGTTCTTGGACACGTCAATCTCAATGCACACTCTAGCAGCTTTAGGACGAGAGAAGTTGAGTGTGGCGCTGTCAACCTTGAGAGGTTTACCCAATTTGGAGGTGATGCAGAATAAAGCTTTTTGGTCATGAAGGTGAATGGGGAGATTCGGGATAGTCACCCAGACCGGCACAATTGGAGAATCTTCATCAGGACGAAGGTTGGGAGACCATTTGGTTACTACCATGATATCCTTTCCAAGAGTCCAAGATTTGCGTAGGAAGAAACGTTGATAATCTTCATCTTGCTCAAAGTTGATGAGAATTGAGTTGGAGTTGAGCTCACCAACCGTAAAACCTCCAATCAAGCCTAACCTGATCAAGAAGTTTTTCACCACTGCAATGGGAGGTCTTCGCCGGAATCTGCCAATCAGACCAAACCTGAAACGGTTGGAGAGGGCCTCAACTTCTTCTTTAGAGAAGGAAACCGAAGGACAGCCTTTGAAGCTGGATTTATCTGAAGGCTTATCATTGGTGTCCACGGATTTGAACAGCTCGGAGAAGAGTTTAGAACGTGCAGGGTTGCCTGAGCTTGACGTCGTGGTTGCAGGAAAGTGTGCCGGGAACTTCGCCGGAATACTTTCTCTCTCTATCACCATTTTTCCATCAAGAGTATCTACAAATGTCATATATATATATATATATATATATATATATATATATATATATATATATATATATATATATATATATATATGGGATTGACTCCAGTCAGATGACAAGTTTGGGTAAGATGACACTTTTGGTCAGATGACAGCGTATTGTTCATTCTGGATCAATGTAGTGCTCATTCTGACCCAACGTAGGGTTCATTCTCACACAACAGTTCATCATAACGTACTGCTTATTTCAGAAAAACATAGTGTTCATTCCAAGTGAGGCAATTGACAACAAAGGTTTCATTTTGAATAACATGATTTTCATTCTGAAACAATGTAGGATTCATTCTCACTCATTTGCTCATTATAGACTTAGTACTCATTCGACAATAACATAGTACTTGTTAGCCACTTGTCAGGTGATAACAAATTAACCTATTCCCCAATTACTACACACTTATAAAAATGGTAGCAAAGTGGTAAGTAGGGTCATTCTTCCACAGGGAGACTTGTCTTCTATTATTTCTTCTCTTGATTAATTGCTCAGTTTCCACAACACACACACGCAAAGGGGGGGGGGGTTGTTTAAAAGGTGCTAATACTACGTAATGAAAACAGATTTTAACAGAAACAATGAGAACAGATCAAAGAAGGAGAGAGAAGTTCAGGTAAAGGTTTGTGGTTATCAAATGGAGTAGCAGGCTTGTCTGGTGGAATTAGGAACAATTGCTCAGATCAAAATAAAAAAATCAGATTCTTAGCTAAACAAGTTGTTGAACAAAAGTGAGATTTAGCTCTCTCAGCAAGGAGCTAAATCTCCACCTCAAAAATCAGTCCTTAAGAGAGATGAGCA